AATCGCCCACAGCGAAAACTCAGGAGAACCCGGTCCCTGCTTTCAACCCGCCAGCCTGGGACCACTCTTCCTGAAGGAAACACTTGAACCTCCCTGCTGGACCACTCGTGGGCAGGAATCCCAGCCTTCCCCACCGTGCATGGAAGGGATGGGCAGTGCTCAGCACATGGAGACGGCTGCAGATTAGCGCTGGCAGCTGCCACATGGCCTGCCCTGGCCACAGCTCCAGCCCTGGCGAAGGGCTGAAGCTAGAGCCAGGGCCACATGGGTGGCTGCTCAGTTGCCCCTGGGGAGGGGCAGCCACCTACCACACGGCCCTGCCCAGGAGCAGCTCAGCAACCACTGCACAGCTCTGCTGAGGAGGTGGGCGGGATCGGAAGTCTTGGTGCGCACCTTCGAGGGAACTATGCTCGGGACTAGTATTCGGTCCCCACGCAATTCTCACCGCAGCCTTGCAGAAAGCCAAAAGTTAACCAGCTTCAGCACAGTGGATTGGTCCTCCTCCCCCCCTCCCCCCCCGGCAGGGAGCACAAGCGCCTAGCTCACCACGCAGCGACAAAGTAGATGATCTACCCGGCATTGCTGGGGTCCTTAGCTCCAGTTTTGTTTTTCTTCATTTAAATCATCGCTCTGGGGTGGGGCTGGGGAGGAGGGGTTCAGGACAGAGACTGCCCCAGGCCCCTCTCACAGCAGCTGCTTGGTGAGACGCGCCTCTCCATGGCTGCTGCAGCTCCAGCAGGCACAGCCGGAGGAGGGGTGGCACATCCCCCGGCAGGGGCACATTCGTCTGCCCCCTGCACTGCCCAGCCAGAGCGAGAAGGGGTAGCGCTGCCAGGCCCAGAAGCCCGTCCTGTGCTTTAAGCATGTAACCTTCCTTCCTCAATCGGGAGAGCAATCGTCTCCAACGGACAGCCGTAAGCACACACAAGGCACCTTCCTGAGCCACGCCACCACCTGCAGGTCTCAGAACAGGGGCAGCTGGAAGTGCTGCCCCCACTTAGACAAGAGCTGGGTGTCCCAAGTCAGAAAGTGCTCACTTCCCCTACACCCAATCCCCTGCAGCATCTCGGCTCCTCCCCGGTACTCGAGTGTGCACCCCTGTCACACACAGACCCGTAGCTCAGGGATGCAGAACCAAGGCCCAGAGCGGGAGGGGCCAGCTCCAGGTGTCACTGTAGACCTAGAGATACGGGTTCAACTCCCATGTTCGGAGGCCTGACGCCTTGTCACCACAAAGCCACCCTTCCACGCAAATTCAGTCAGGTGCCTCGAGACATACGCGAGCCCTCAAAGACGGCATAAGAAACACAAGACACATCTGGACACAAAGCTAGCACAAGCAAGTCAAGCAACAGCCACTCGAGGACACGCCCAAGCCAGCCCTGCCGTCAGCTGGTGGGGGCAGGAAAACCACTTGCTGGTCACAGCTGCTTGCATTTCTCCAGGAACATTTTAAATGCTCCTCGGTCAGTCTGCCCAGGGAATCCCTGAAGCTCCACAGGGTGATACACACCAGCCTTTCCCAAAGGAAATTCACAATCGTTTGCTTTGCCAGCCTGTAAGGGCGGCCTGTTGCTTTGTGGCAATCCAAAACCTTGAGTGCCCTCTTCCACAAAGGGCCCATTGTGCAACGCTGCCGGAACTCCCACAGCAAGGCAGCCAGCAGCAGCCTGCCCTAGTTTACCTATTCGCTGCAGGGAAGGAAGCGAACACTGAATTGTTTTGTCTTTCGGGGAAAATAATTCTAGGGCACAAGGCAGACAACTGGGAGAGGGCCCAGAGGCGGAAACAGGCTGTTTTAGAAGCAGCAGCTGACAAATTGCCACACAACGCTTCCCTCCCAGCAAAGCCCAGTACCGACCGAGGCTCAGGGAGAACACGCGGTGGGGTGCTCGTTTGTGGGAAAGCACACCCCAGGGCGAGAGCCAGTGTATCCCCAGTCAGCCGGGTTCTGTTCAGCTGCATAACCCTGTGTCTCTGCGACCAGACCTGCTCCTCACACCAGTCTGCCTTAGAGCAAGCAGCCATTTTACAGAATCCCTTGAGCCTGTAACCCTTAACACGAGTGATACAGCTGCACGTGAAATAAACCGAGCAGGCGAGCGCGCTGGCTTGAGACAGCCCAGCCCAGCCCCGGTCACATTAGCGAGGGCAGGGTCTGCCCAGCAACGTGGAACATCACCAAGGCAATGACCTTTGCAGGTCGGCTTTTGGCTAATTCAAGGCAGCGTGCTAGCATTTCAAAGGGCTCCGCTCACAGCAATGAAATGCAAGTCATACTAAGCTTCCCGCCGCTGGATTGCTTCAACTCTCCTTCCCGCAAGGCGGCAATGCTCCAGGCTTGCCCTGGTGTCTCCGGCAACCGGATTATCTTTGGGGATTTCATCCACCAGGGACTTGTCCAGAGCCGGCGAGACAGAGGGAACGCGCAGTTCCCATCAGCCTGCGGTGCATGGAAGCTGCAAGCTGAGCAACGGCTAGGCCAAAGTCCATTCTGGTTTCCCCTTGCTGGCCTGAAGATGCCAGAACGGTCCGTGCACCCTGAAATGCTCCCCCGCATTCCAAGTCTCAGGGCTCGTAAGGGAGGGGCAGCTGGCCTCACACAGCGCCAGGGGCCAGCGTCCCACAAAATGGACACCGGCTGTATCTACCAGGGCCACCTACAAATGGCTGCAGATTAGCCCAAGCTCCTATTGCAAGGAGACATGCAAGCACCTCAGGCTGAGAACTGCCTGCCTGCGAGAGAGGCGGCAAGATAGAAAAGGGACCCGGGTCGCCCCCCCCCCCACACCTGCAGATTAGCCCAAGCTCCTATTGCAAGGAGACATGCAAGCACCTCAGGCTGAGAACTGCCTGCCTGCGAGAGAGGCGGCAAGAAAAAAAAAAGCCCCGCGCGCGCCCCCCCCCCACACCTGCACATATTTACACAGCAGGCCCCCAATACCCTGGCACTTCTAGGGCCTCGAAGCATCATCGCTGTTTGTATTCCAGAGACGTCTGTCGCCTATCCAGCCTGGCTAAGGGATGGGTTGCTGGAGTCACTTGCTACTCTGGAGATCAATCTTCTAGCGCTCGATTTAACGGGTCTAGTTAAGGCCTGCTAAATCATCTGAAGGCGGCTCCAGGCGCACTGGTATCCCTGGCAGTCATGAGGGGTAAGGGAAGCTGACAGAAGCATTTGTGCCTGTCGGCCTCCCTCTGTGATGCCTGTGCCAAGCTCAGCTTAAGGGAAGCAAACTCCAGCTACATATTTTGTGTAGCTGGAGTTGTGTACCTTAACCCAACCTTCGGGATCAAGCTGGCCTACGGGATCAAGCTAATTTAGTAAAAGATTCAAAACAGAACAGGATTTTCCTGGTACCTCTTCCTCCAGGGAAGGTCTGTTTCCCAGGTGAAGCAAACACCCCCTTGCCAGCTGACAGTCCCCCAAGAGACATACTGTAGCCTGCTCCTTCCTGTGGGAATACAACGGGATCCCTGTTTTCTTCTGCAAAGCCTATTCCTCTCCAGAACGAGACACAGTTTGGGAGTCACCATGTGGGAGGAATACACTAGGGATGTAATAGTGCAGTCGATTAACAGATAAGCAAAAGCTTACAGGTTAACGCTACAGACTACACACATTCCGCCCTCCTTGCCCAAGTCAATTTTTTAGCAAGCTGGCCAGCAATGGGTCTGGGACCTACCCCCGCTGCGGCTCTGCATTTCAAGTGTATTAGGAGCTAGGCTGGCAAGCAGCCTGGTTCAGTTCTGCCTTATGCCAGGTCCGGGAGTACAGACCTCCCCCCGACCCAGAGAGAGGTTGCTGCCTCTGTATCAGAGGCAGCAGCATGGGGCGACAGGCAGCCAGTCCACAAGAGGAGCTGGTTTTTAAACTCCCCTTGCAGACCATCTCCCGCATGGCACTCCACACTGCAGCTGCTGATTCAGCGGCAGCAACAAGGATGGCAGGGGGCTCCTCGGGAGTGGGCCGGAGCACACTGGATGCCAGCCCCGCCTGGGTACTATAGAATACTCGACTAACCGGTAAGAACTCAGGAGGTTACTCAGCTATTCAATTAACCGATATTTAACATCCCTAGAATACACCAGGAGCAAGGTGATGCCTCAACCATGAGATCAGGGGCCATAGAAAGAACAAGGCCCCACCTCAGACACTGTCTGGGGCAAGGCCCTTCGGAGCCACCATGGGAAAACACCTGCCCCCTTGGTGAGCAGCAAACCAAGGAAGAAATAACCCCCTGCATCTTCTCCTTGGCAACCATCATGCTCAGGAGCAGAGACTCTCGCTCAAGCCTTAGAGAGGAGAATCCAGAACAGCACTGAAGAGCACAGACCCTGGGCGCTGGGTTTGATGAGGGGACCCCCCCACCAAAGCAGGACTGTGGTGTGATGGCCCCGTTTGCTGGAGCTCCCAGGAGGTCCAGGCACACCGTGCAGGGTGGGCGTTTGGGAGAGTCTGAGGGGTGGAGGGTCCCAGGACACCTGTCAGACCCAGCCCTTGGGCATGCCCAGGCACACTGTGCAGGGTGGGCGTTTGGGAGGGTCTGAGGGGTGGAGGGTCCCAGGGCACCTGTCAGACCCAGCCCTTGGGCAGGCCCAAGCACAGCGTGCAGGGGTCCAGCAGGGAATCGTGAGAGGGTCCCAGGAGGATGGGGGTAGGTGGCAGACTGAAGACATGGGAAAGTCCAATCATGCTGGGTGTGGGGGGGGAGTGTCCCGGGGATTCCAGATCCAGCAGGCCAAGGGCTTGGAGAGGCCCAGGGACACAGCGCAGGGTGGAGGATACCAGGGAAGTCCACAGGGTGGGGTAGGGGAAGGGAGGTCAAAGCACACTGGTAGACAAAGATCAAGGAACAGACAGGCACACCACACAAGGAGGAAGGAGCTTGGGGAGGAGGGGACCTGGTAGCCGGAGGCTTTGGGCAGGGCCAGGAACACCGTGTGGGGTGGAGGAGAGTTGGGGAGCCCAGGAGGACTTGGGGGATATGAGGGGGTACCTGGTAGACCGAGGCCTTGGGCAGGTCCAGGCACACCGCGCGGGCTGTGGGAGGCCAGGAGGCGGTTGGCATAACGGGGGTACCAGCAAATGTTGTGGGGTACTGGTGGGTACCTGGTAGACCGAGGCCTTGGGCAGGTCCAGGCACACTGTGCAGGACTGGGGACAGTCAGGGGGCCCAGGAATGGGTTAGGGTACCAGGGAGTACCTGCGGGGTACCGGGGCCTTGAGCAGCTCCACGCTCACTGAGCGGGAGAAAGGGGGGGCCGGGAGGAGGTTAGGTACCAGAGGGTACCTGGTAGACCGAGACCTTGGGCAGGTCCAGGCACACCGCGCGGGGGGGGTCCCGGGGGGGTCCCGGGTAGACCGAGGCCTTGGGCAGGTCCAGGCGCACCGCGCGGGGGGGGGGGATCCCGCAGGGGGGTCCCGCGGTACCTGGTAGACCGAGACCTTGGGCAGGTCCAGGCACACCGCGCGGGGGGGGTCCCGGGGGGGTCCCGGGTAGACCGAGGCCTTGGGCAGGTCCAGGCGCACCGCGCGGGGGGGGGGGATCCCGCAGGGGGGTCCCGCGGTACCTGGTAGACCGAGACCTTGGGCAGGTCCAGGCACACCGCGCGGGGGGGGTCCCGGGGGGGTCCCGGGTAGACCGAGGCCTTGGGCAGGTCCAGGCGCACCGCGCGGGGGGGGGGGATCCCGCAGGGGGGTCCCGCGGTACCTGGTAGACCGAGACCTTGGGCAGGTCCAGGCACACCGCGCGGGGGGGGTCCCGGGGGGGTCCCGGGTAGACCGAGGCCTTGGGCAGGTCCAGGCGCACCGCGCGGGGGGGGGGGATCCCGCAGGGGGGTCCCGCGGTACCTGGTAGACCGAGACCTTGGGCAGGTCCAGGCACACCGCGCGGGGGGGGTCCCGCAGGGAGGGTCCCGGGGGGTCCCGCAGGGGGGGTCCCGCGGTACCTGGTAGACCGAGACCTTGGGCAGGTCCAGGCACACCGCGTGGGGGGGGTCCCGCAGGGGGGGTCCCGCGGTACCTGGTAGACCGAGACCTTGGGCAGGTCCAGGCACACCGCGCGGGGGGGGTCGCGCAGGGGGGGTCCCGCGGTACCTGGTAGACCGAGACCTTGGGCAGGTACAGGCACAACGCGCGGGGGAGTCCCGCAGGGGGGGTCCCGGGTGGGTACCTAGTAGACCGAGGCCTTGGGCAGGTCCAGGCACACCGCGCGGGGGGGGCC